AACTTTATACTTAATGATCCTGATATTGTTCTAGATCATTAGCAAGATCAGAATTTATGTGAACAAAATAAATAGAGCAAACTAAAAAAAGCAGAGATATATCGACATTTGACTTATTTTAATTCTTCCCTACTGACTGACAATTATGAAAATAAGTGGGTTATATCATTTCATGGTGGAAAGCGAATTATTGGGACGAGCTGGATTTGAACCAGCGTAGACATATTGCTAATGAATTTACAGTCTGTCCTCGTTAACCACTCGGGAATAGACCTGGGAAGAATCAATTTGAAGTTTATTGATAATCAATGATCAGCTTTCTTTCATACTGCCCTACCCCCAGGGGAAGGCTAGGGATTATAGTCGGCGTCACTTCATCATTTTAACTTCTCTAAGTCAAAATCGCCATGAAACTTTGGTTTCATTCAGCTCCTTTATGGAAGATGATAAATTCCCATATATAATAACATGGGAACGAAATAAAAACAAAAATCAGATCCATAACATCTATATGAGCTTTTCTGTCTGGATTCTGGATTCAGTCTTGGGATGCATTCAATTCAGACAATTTGCTTTATAGATGATCCTTTTAAAAGTGGGAGAGTATAACAATCTTTCTAGTCACTTCATTCTCTATTTATATATTTTTTTATACTTAATAGAATCCTTCGGAAAAGTGTTTTGTTTCCATTGAGCTAAAACAATGTCAATCTGAATTTCCTTCTGGCTTTCTTTTGCTTTCTGGGCTGTTTAAGTAAGGTGAAGTGGAAATGGGTTTTGGGCTTTTTATTGAATAGTCGTCATTTTTAGCTTATTCTCTGAATTTAAGTTGCAGCTTATAGTTCTAGTGGTGAGTATCAGCTGGATTTCTTCTTTGGGGGGCTACCAGAAAATATTTTAAGCAGATCATTTTGGACTAAAAGTGAGTGAATAGGGGAACAAAACCATATTCGTTCGGCCTGCTGCAACATCCTGGGATGTGATACAAGTAGAACTTGTATCTCAGCAGATCTCATGTTCTTTAAGATCAATCTGCGAGAGGAGCAAGGAGAGAGGAAAGGAGAAGAAGAACATTCAGATAGTGGAAGAAGGAAGCTGTTCTATTAATCAAGGAGCATTCTTTTGCACCTTCTCAAGTTTCATTAATAAGGGTGGAAACTACTCCATAATGTGAATAGATGAGTATTTCGTATCAAGTCATTTGAAATATTTGAGACTTGAGTTCAGCTTGAGATTCGAAGCTCAAGTTGAGCTTTATTTTTATCTCAAGCTTGGTTAATGTAAAGAAATAAAAAACTCAAGTTAAGCTGTACAAAAGCTTGTTAAGGCTTTTTAAAAGATAAAAAGATAGGTTGATTAGGTTGTTTCTGCAAATTAACAAAGTAAATTAACAAAACTTCAAATTTAAACAAAAAGCAAAAAGAACCTAAAACATATCCTATAACAAGAAAATTAAAATGAAATGGTCAAACACATAGATAACTAATGTAATAATCATTGGAATAATCCTAGCAAAATCATAAAAAAATTGATTCAATAGACAAAGCCTCTTCAACATTAAACAGGTGTTGGAATTGAGGTTATTTCTCATAGAGGACCAACAAAGGAGTGAAGGAGAACTAGAGCTCTGTAGATAGTGTCAATGACGTTGATGCTTGTGACGAACAATTGCAATGAGACAACAATGATGAATGCTAGAGCTGGTAAGTGAAAGGCAGCAGATTCCGGTTATTGGCTTCAAACTTTTGTAAAAGAAAAAGAATGAAAAGAGATGGGTTAGAGAGAGCAACAATTGGTGATGTAGAACAAATTAGATTAGGAATTTGAGGATAGAAATCTAGATACTAACCCAAAGGTTTCTTAGGCATCACATTTAAAAAGTCTTAGATATCATAATTAAGGTTTTGAGTGTGTTGTACAACTAGAAAACTAAGAAAATGTTAAAGTATTTTATTGAATATTTGATGTTTGTTTCAAAAGTGATATTATGATGATATTTGTAATGCTTCTTTAACCTTTACTGACCAAGAATATTAGTATATTACTAATGCAAATAGAAAACATTAATACTAAAAATAATAAAATCACCAAGTTACTAGACTGTAATAATAATTTTCTAAATTGAATAGTAGTTTTATATTTAATAGGATTATGATTTTAATTCAGGCAATCTATGGCTAATTCATTCTTCATCGTTCTCTTCTTGTTGGAAAAGACTCATCTATGAGTTTTGAAGTGGTGAATGATGGATTTTCGAGTCATTTAATTTAGTGGTAAACATAATGGAAATGTATAATTGTTTATGAGTTTGAAATGCTAGGAGCATTGGACTCAATTATTGACTTAGGTTCCTCCTTGGATTGAACTTCTATAGAACTCTACTTAGGTAGTAAAAGATCGTGAATAACCTCAAAATCTATCTTTTAGGAAGATATGACAATTCTTCTTTTTGGGTGTTTAAACTTATTCATCTCTTTTGTTGTAATAGTGTCAAAAATCACACCTGACATGAAGGGATAAGTATTGGTAGATTCAACATAACAATTGTGAAACTAAGGTTGATTTATAAAAATATGTGTGAATATTATAGTAACTACATGACACAATATTGAATCACTATAGGTACCATAACCAATAGAAACAAGACTTTACTAAATACTCAAGTTATCCAATTAAGCTAGTTTATATGGGTGAGGATGTGGTTGAATTAAAAGATTAAACCGTTCAACTGTTGGAACAAGGTTCTTGCACAGTACTTACGGATGACAAGTTTCTTACCTTATTTCTACCACGAATCATAGCAATCAAGAAAGACTTTCAATCTTCTCTCCCTTTAATTGCATAATTGTGCTTAACTACATTTAAGAAAGATAAACTTGTCAATTTTATTGTTCATGATCATTGACTTGTCCTACTCCTTTTGATTTAACATGTTTAAATTTTTTTGATTAAATCAGAGTGCACCTTTAGTAAAGAGGACCACAAAAATGAGAGGAGTCGGAAAAGAGCTATTAGGAATTGTTTAAAATTGCTAAAATAGGTGTAGAAGACGCTAAATCAAACTGAATGAACTGCCTTGGTCAAAGTATACCAAGACACAAATTTGCAATGTTCACTAATGAGTCATGGGCTCATGGGAATTACGCAGTGGTTTTTGGTCACTGGATGACATTAGGGTTCCGGTAGTAGGCTTAGCTTAAGATAGTGGTTACATAACCAGTAGCAGTATGAGACATGACTCTGAAGAAGTTCAGGAACAAAAAAAGTAGCAGCAATGCAAAAGTGCTATAATTAGTGGTGTGCTTTTTGGTGAATTCTTGCGGTGGGGCCTTTGAAGTTGTCTAAATCGACGAGCTCTAATGTCGGTGGTGGGACCAATTTCACTCACTACTTGGTGGTGGTTGGTGAATTGACTAGCAGGTGGTTTGTGGTCTTTAAGGGTTTATGAATTTATGTTTTCTAGGTAAGTCTCTCGTAGATAATGTCAACCTGAAAAATACTAATTCTAATCAGGTCAATAAATAATACTATTAAATATGAAAATTGAGTACTAATAAGAATAAAATAAGTTACTCATCTAAAAAAGAATAAAATAAGTTATTATAATGGTATAGTAGTTTATATTTAATAGAATGATGAGTTTGTGTTTGTACAGAGAGAGATGTTGTGTATGGTGAAAAAAAAGGTAGCTGAGGAAGATGAGTTGCTTATGTTTGTGTTTGTTGACATTTGTGTAGAAGAGAAGAGAAATTGAGACGGGAAAGAAGAAGATGATAAGACCTTCTTTTGGAACGAAGAGTCTTTTCCTGCCATTTTCTCTATTGCGATGTTCAAGGAGGTGAAGGTGGGTGATTGCTTTGATTTGTGGTGGAATATACCTCTCCTTAAGAAATCTTAATGACTAGGAAAGTGATTAGTGGACAACTTTGTGCTCTACCTTGGATAAGATGCACGTAAATCCCTCATGTATGACTAACCTATTTGGAAGTTGACTAAGGAAGGTAAATTTTTGGACGAATCTTTTTTCCTTAGATGCCTTTTCATGGAGGAAAATTTGGAAAACAGAGGCTTCTAGAATTTGGTGTCACTTGTTGATACTTTTGGTGTTTCTTGGGCTTCGCCAGACACAACTAAAGGCTTCTTGTCCTCATACTTCTGGTTTGAGTTTGAAGAAAGAAGCTAAAGCTATTTTGTTGTGAATTCTTTGCTAGATTAAGGGTGATTTGACTAGAAAGAAATGCAAGAATTTTAAGGGCTACTCTTCCCTGTCTATGATTCTTTGGAATAAGCTCTGTCTTAACCCTCCCTTTAGTCCAGGGCACATGGGAACCTTAAAGATTTGTTGTTTTCTTCATTTGGTTAGCTAGTTTTATCAAGATTAGTTGGCTTGTCTTTCCCTTTCTTTACGTGAGGATATCTAATCCTCCCTTTTGTGTTCCTTAATGAAGGCTTCCCTTTGATCTTTTTTTTTTCTTGCCTTGGAAAGAATTCTCACCATTTGCAATATCATGAAGAGTAGACATATGTTAATATATGCTTTTTGTGCTAGAGAGAGTGTGAATCCCTTGGTCACCTACTGATTTGGTGCAGGAAATCTGAAAGACTTGGATTCTCTTAGCTTGATGAATTGTAGTTGGGTTACTGGGTATGTGAAGAATGAGCTCTGAGCTTGCACTGGTCTCTCTGTTGCTATGTCTAAAAGCAAGCTTTTCCCTCTTATTCATTTTGGATACCTTTTAGGAATTACTTCTCTTCTCATGTATATACCTGGGATCAGTCGTTTTGGGATCATTGCTTTAGGACTTTGGGTTTTCTGTAGGTCATCCACTTGTGATGAGACTGAATTTCCTAACTCATTAAACGTTTTTTTTTTGGCTCTATTTTATTAAGATTTTTACCCAGTGGCACACCATGGCACCTCTATTTTGATGAACTTTCCTTCTTAAAAGGAAAAGGAGATGAGATGGGCTAGATGCATTGATGGAATTTGCCCATGTGTAGAAGATGAGTTGGTAAAATGAAAACCTAAGGTTCAGTATTTATATTTATGATTACAAATATAAATTAAATTTTTTTATTATTGAGTTGAAATATCGTATATTCTTTCATTTATGGTTATGAATATAAATTAAGTTCATCTCTTAATGAATTGAAATGATTATAATATATAATAATCAAGTTCAGTTTATTTTAATGAGCCTTTTTTTAGAATTGAGTTTCATCCATTCTTAGTCATACTTGAGCTCGACTTTGATTGAACTTGAACCAAGTTTTGATTGAGCCGAATCCGAACTTTCTGGTACCAGGCTTGGCTTATTGCCACCTTCGCTCGTCGGTCATCTCATTTAGCCTGTTCCCTCATAAGTTCATGCCTGCAGAGAGATTAAAATGCTAAGCAGATGGAGAGCAATAGGGATTCAAGAAACATGGATCAGGAAAGATCAACAATCAGCTGCCAATTTCAATGCTTCTTGGGGAAACTATTTTCACCCCCTTTTGGATGATGTGATTTCTAGTTTCTGCACTGTACTTCCCAGAAAGAACGATGTTGCAGCCTCTGCCTGAACCCTATACTATTAGATATAGTAAAATGAGCTTTTCGTTGGATAAAAAAGTGGGATAAAACATTATATGTTGATTGTCAAGGTGTTTTGGCACTTGCATGCTGCCCCTAGATACTTGTTAAACATGGTTGAGCTTGTGTTTGATTCTCCCTTGTTAATGGAAGTTGGAATGATGAAACATTTGAAGACCTGGTGTCTTTAGTGGCCAAAGTTGGAGCTCATGAAAGAAGTGTTTATTTGGGTAGGGTTTCTACACAAGAAGATGAACGCCAATTTGCATGTGTAGATATCATATTGAAAGGTGTTGAGTTGGATGAATTTTTCAAAAGGTGATAAAACTGGGGCATTAGGACTTTGCCTTATGGGGTTGAGTCGCGGCCTGTGGCATTGTTCGTGGGACTGAAATTGGACAAAGGAAGTAAGATGAAAAGTATAATTTGATACTTGAGAATGATATTCCCGTTTAGTATAACTCTGTCAGTGCTGTGCTATTTAATTGTTTGTCCACCTGTTGTTGGCATGTGTGCACTCTATTATCTAAACCTTTAAGTACTTTGGTGGAGAGGTCTTTTATGAGAGATGAGAATAAATTGTAATGGATGGTATTTTTTCCCTAAAAAAAGTGAAGATTATTTGACTTTTGCTCTTCTAATTTAAATATCATTCATTTAATATATTGATAACATTGCTTCCCGCCTGATATTAGTAAGAGTTTTCTGAACCAGGTTTATATTACAGAGGATTGTGTTGGTGTAGCAATAATTATTTATTAAGTCAGTTCATTATTTTTTTTTATTAAAAAAAAATCAGTTCATAATTTTTAATATTCTTTGCATATTTTGATAAAGACATTCAATATTCTATGCAAATTTGGGATAATATGGTGGTTTTGGCTTCTTTATGGGCTAGGCCACATGGGTTTTTCGGGAATTTGCCTTTTATCTAAAAGTAATTAGGAGGCTATTCTATGATGAGGCCTGTCCATTCTTTCTTGTTTTCTAATTACTTCTTTGTACAAGAATGACATGTCCTTACTCTTTTTGTAATTGCTTCTGCCCTTCTTAATAACATCTTTTCTTTTTTAATACAAAAAAGGTGGGTTCTTGATACTTCTTTGATAAAAAAAATTGAGGAAACAACGAGGTTGTAGCCAAGTAAAAGATTAGGTTCTTTTGTGCTGTTAGTGTGATGTAATAAGGCTTCAGTTTGTCTCCATTCTGATAGAGTGAGTTTCCACTTCCAACTGCATTTTGAATCTTGGTGTAGATTGTAATATAGTTTTGGGCATGGCGTGCAACTATTGGATGGTTATAGGTTTCATATTACCTGTGATTTGAGTGGGTGGAGAATATGTTGGTAATCATTTCTTGTCTTTTATGTTTCATATAAATATGTGTGGGTGTGTGTTTCATTTCTTATCCTCTCTGTGCTATGACTAAGTGGAACTGGATGTTTAATGATACCGCAATATTGTTATGGTGCACTCAGAGCCAGATGATAAGTGCATAATTCAGGTGCTGGAAAATGGCGTAGGCTATTATTTTGTTAATATGTAGAAGTTAACTCTCTTGAGCATGTTTGGCAGTGTCTTTGAAGCCAGAACTGTTTGAGGGGTTGCGCTTTGATTTTACCAAGGGACTGAATCCAAAATTCTCTCTGAGTCATAGGTATCATGAGCTTAGCTAATGCTGTTTAACATTCTTCACTTAATTTCTTATTGAATATGGTCATTTTGTCTTCAACAGTGTGCTTATGGGACCAACAGAAATTCCTTCCCAGTCTTCTGAGACTATTAAAATCCCTACTGCTCACTATGAGTTTGGTGCTAACTTTATAGACCCGAAGGTAGATGGTTGCTATCAAAGTTAATTATCTAGAATCTATTTAAGGGCCAGTAACAGTGGGGACGGTGATAACTTTTGCAGCTGATGCTTATCGGGAGGGTCTTGACGGATGGTAGACTAAATGCAAGGGTGAAGTGGGATTTGACTGATACTCTTACGTTGAAGGCTAATGCTCAGGTAAAATATTTATTATTTCCAGAGATTTTATCCTCCTTTTGGGTCCATTTGTGGAGGAGAAAAATGATGGGGGGCAGAGGAGGGCGTGAGGGGACAATGAGTATAATATGGTCCCGAACAAAAAAAATTATGGTACGCTTACCATCAAAAGAAAAAATATATGGTCCCCAACAAAATATTAGTTGGGGGAGAAGAATGTGCTGAATGGAAATAACTGAACTAATATTATGCTCTGAATACCAAATTATCCTTATTTCCTTCCATCTCTTTCTCCTGATTTCCCATTCCCAAATAGATTAGGGTTTCTGTTGTTGGAGCTGGGAATACACATCCTTGTGTTACTACCTATTTTGTATGTTTAGCATTGTGGATAATGTGGTAGATATGCCACTTCCTGGTTATAAATAGTATCATAAATTATTGATGCTCATGTTCCATTATTACAGAGGTAAAATTTGTATTCTTTTTAATGTGGTAGTTACTTGTGTAACTTTTTCTTGTGTTATTTTCCAGCTTACCAATGAGCCTCATATGTCACATGGGATGGTTAACTTTGATTACAAGGTCTATTTCCCTTCTCCATATTGAATATTTTTTAGAGGTTTAGTTATGGAATATGCACGTTTTCTTATTGCTTGTTTGATGTATACACATTTATAGGGCAAAGACTATCGAAGCCAGTTACAGCTGGGGAACGGTGCCTTATTGGGAGCCAGTTATATACAGGTAAACCTATTATTTTAGTCTAGTGATAACTGTTATATTTAATTCATGTATTGCACAAATTGGCATAAAGAATTGTATAATTGTCATGTTTAATTGGATATCTTCTCTTGAAAAGTCTATTTTTAAGAATGCATATGAAAAACGTGGCATTCTAATTAAGTATTTATTGGATATTAAGTGTAGAATATTAAATTCAAACTGTCTGCACCTTTTTTTTGAGAAGGTAAGTCAATTAACAAGACACTGGTGGGTGCCATCATATATGAAAGAATCTGTGCATCAGCCAACCTAAAATATAAATTTACCTTAGGCAGGCCTAAACTACAGTTATAGCAAGGATCTTTCAGTTCCGAAGACCATGGAAACCTCATGCAATACTGCGGCCTGGATGCTTTCAGAGATATCTTTTGGTCTATGCATAAGACCCTATGTTATTTTCTCCAAGGCCATTTCCTTTAAGATATTTTTGATCTCTTCTTTCTGAGAGAGTTGTAAATCTTTTGTACATGGGTTGTAGCATCTTGTTGCCTCTTTAATATTACTTTCTTTTCCCTTTTAAAAATGTTTTGGCCTATGCATATTCACACAAACGAAATTGGTCCAAGTCTCTGCTCAAGTAGTTTCCTCTTATTTCTAGTGTTGTAAGTGATTTTGCAGTATGGATTAGCTATTAAAACATAAATAAAT